TGTGACCGACTATTTGTGGCGAAACGTCGTGCTGACAGATGTCGCTTGGTCAATTGTCGTGTTCCCTCGAGTAGCATGGTGGTTTTCGTCGGAGTTAGACTTGTCGTAGATGCATTTGTCGGTCACTCGAACACTTGATTTGGTCTGGAACGGATGGGCCAATGGGCGTGACCCAAAAAAGCATGAGGACAAATTTGAAGAAAGTAGGTGTAAGCGGTTAAAAAGTGAAGTTAGAAACGTGAATGAATGTGATTGCGATCGGGAGAAACGATTAGTGCAATTGAAGAAGCGTCGTTTTTTGAGATATTGCAAACCAACTGTGATGATAATCTATTTGTGAGCGACACGCGCATCCGTGACACCGCATCGTCGCACGTGCGTTTCTGTGCAATTCACCGCCCATAAACAGCGGATTCACTTGAGCGGAAGGATACTATCGAATTTTACGAATGGATTGTTTTACAGGTGCATCTTCAGGAGCTCTGAAAGGTATGTTCTTTGTATTGAAATGATGCCTATTTTAAATTTGTTTGGTGTTTCAGGTGTTTGTTTCAGTGATGGAACATTCAAAAATATAAATTCAATAAATGAACTAAACGCGAAATGTGATGAAATAACGAGTATGTGTTGGAGTGGTGCTAGTGATCAGGTGAATTTAATATTCAGTTCCAGTACGAGTGTTATAATCATCCACTGAATTCAGACTGAAGTCCTCACAGCACAAATGGATCGGCATTTGAGGTTGTATGATACGGTTAATGATAAACGTTCATCGTTATTTAAAGTAGACGGCGGAACGGGACCCGTCAAAGGACTTCACGTGACAAATGGGTGGGTTTATTATTGCACTGGTTGCATGCACATTGCTTTGAGTTAATGAAAATGAAATTTTGAGTGGCTCTTCAATAGTGACAGCAGTGGAGTCGGGTGAGGTGTGTGTGTGGAACGAGGAAGGTGCGAAGCTGAGTGAACTGAATGCTGGCAGTGACTTGTTGGTGATGACCAATAATTCAATTCACAATCAACAATACGCCACTGGTGGTATCGAAAACCCACTGAAAGTATGGGATATTGAACACGGGCAGAAAATTTTCACCGCAAAAAATGTTCGTTTTTACTTTTGTAATAATCAGCTGCAATGAGTATATTTGCTTCAATGTGTATCAGATTCAGGTGCGTCCAGACAACCTTCAGTTGAGAGTACCGATTTGGGATACAGACATACGTTTTATGAACGAATCACAAAATATAGTCACTACCACTGGCAAGCATCAGGTATTATTTATTATTCTTGATTAAATTTGAATAAGTGGACGAATGCAATTAAGATTCGTGTGTACGATCCACGAAGTCAACGTCGTCCAGTTAAAGAAATGGAGTGGTTAGAAGAGCCTATAACAGCGATGACGTTGTGCAATTCGCAGATGCACATTGTGGCTGGAAATTCCAAGGGGGAGATGGCGTTGTTCGACTTGAGGAACAAGTGTTCGTTTCGTATTATTTTTGCGTGGTGATTGGATAGTTTCAAAACGATTGGTGTTTCAGTGAGAGTGGTGTGTAAATTGAAAGGTTGTAGCGGTTCGGTGAGAGGGATTGATGCCCATCCGGCATCACCTCTTGTAGCATCTTGTTCCATCGATCGATTCGTTAGACTACACGATTTCAATAGCAAAAAACTCATCAAAAAGGTACTTATTTCTATAGAAATGGTGAATGAATAATTGTTGACAATGTGAACAATATTTGAAGGTGTATTGCAAAGCGCGTTTGAATAAATTATTAATGAAAAATGACATTTCAATCATGGATAAAAGGGAGAAGGTGAATAAAGAAGAACTGGATGAGTATGACGAAACTTGGAGAAAAATCGAGGTATTTTTCTAATTGGTTTATTAATGAATGAATTTATTAAAAATATTGGTATATTGAAGGAGGGAGGAGAGGTCGGTGATAACAGTGATGATTTCGAGGCATCAATGAGTAGCGAAGATGAGACATTATGGAATGATATGAGGGAAAGGGTTCAGCATGGACAAAAGAGAAAAAAGGTTTGTTTGGTTTATTTATTACGTATTGAGTTGTAATGAGACATAAGTTTTAGAATAAGTTAAATGATCATGGAGATGAAAGAGTTTTGGCGAAGAAAGGTAAAACAGACGACCGAAATAAGAGGAAATTCGCGAGCGAGAACGAAAATGTCGACGTGAAAAGGAATAAGAAAGAGGGATCGGTTCAAGTCAGTGAAGATATAATTGCTAAATCAACAGCGTTGAATCAAAGCTCAGAGAAAACGAGATCAAATTCATCGAAAAGGTTCGCGGACAATAATTGGATTGATACTGAACACGAATCAAAACGATTTCACAAAGATGTCTAATTACTTGCTTATCCTTATTCTTCGTTTACTGTTGCTTTTGAAATTCATTCATAACATGATCAATTTCAGTAAGTGAGTGGGTATGTTATAATCAGTGATGTACCGATAGCGTGGTTTTCTTTTTGCGGAGATATGTGTTGTAATAAAACTTGTTATTGTATTTTAGTGCTGTTGTTATTTCATTTGTTTATTATCCATTTTGAATAAAACGTCAAATGAAAGTTGTGTATGATGCCCGTTCAAGAGGGAAGGTCTTGTTCGGAACCGAATGGTGTATCGTTTGGCTTGTATCTAATTATCTTTAATCACAGAATAGTGATTACCGAGTCAACCCATCCAACCTGCAAAATTGCTCTATACTTTCAAATGTTCCATAGAGAATTGAGCGGCTTTACTTAATGAACGCATTTTGGTTATTTTCTGTCTGCATTTCATTGGCGTAATGAACCAGTGGGTGTCGTACCATCACACGCGCAAAGTGGCGTACCCTTACGCGCTTGGAGTGGTATACCCTCACACGCATTTAGTGGCATACCTTCATACGCACGGAGTGGCGTAGTAACCCTTTGTCCTAACGATGAGCTGGGTGACCGACAAATGCATCTACGACGGGTGATGAGCAGTAATAAACCCAAACTGCTTTATGAATGTATCTTAAGCGTTTGAGAATAAAGTCAACCGTAACTTATCCCAAGAAATGTCTCAAAAACTTACGAGCTGTGCTGTGTTCTGTTTATGGAAGTGGTACTAACCATGCTCATTTGCTCTTTCCACGCCTTATTTTATCATTTCTACATTACATTGCTTCTATTCCAAAGTAACATTGTGCTGCCAAAATATGATACCCCATGTTTTGTGTGAATTCGCGTTAATTTATCGGCTAGAAAACGAGAATTGATGCTGTTGTTAACGAGACGAAAGGAATCGATGAATGATCAAGGCATAAGTAATAAGACAAAGATCGGTGATCTGAGGTAATCACGAGAATCACTGTTGTTAATTGTTACCCTAAATTTACTTATTATCGTTGTTTATTGCATATTTGAACGCTGTGCAATCAATCGTGGTTGTGTAATCGCGAGAAAAGAGCACTGTTGTTAATTGTTAACCTAAGTTTATTAATTATCATTGTTCATTGCACATTTGATTCGAGAGTTAATTCTTGTGAGGAATGCAAGCTATCACTTGTACACTTTAACGAACGCGCTTTTTTAGGTTTTTTATATGTCGAAAATTCGTCATGCAATCATTAGTAATGATGTAGTAACGCTATTCAATGTGGTTGAATTTGGATCATCCCAAATCGAACCGCACTCCCAGCTGGTTTGGTACTGTACTGTGTTTATGCTTGTTTAGTAACAGAGAACGAGTATTTATTAATTCAGTTACTTTCACGTTACATCGTTACATTGTCTTTTGTATTATCCAAGCAATAAACCTTA